TTTTTCTTTTTTCTTATGTGGTGCTGAGGAATCAAACCTAGGGCCTCAGGCATGCAAGGCTAGCGCTCTACTACTGAGCCATCTTCCCAGCCCCCTGCACTTCAATTCTTAAGGATAACTATTTCTCAACTCAAATGTGAAGGAATAATCACAGCATCGGACATGTAATGTTTAAAAAATGGTACTCTTCCTTAGAAAGCTACTGGAAAATGTGTTGCTATAAAATGAGAAACTAGGCTAGAGAAGAACAAAATACAGAAAACAGGAGAGTACAGAACACAGGGCAGGTTAAGGGAATTCCCAGGATGATGACAGGTTGATATTCTAGGATGGTAATTGCTTTTATTCTCTTCTTTTATTTTTTTATTTATTTTTGCAATACTGGGGTTTGAAATCAGAACCTTGAATATGCTCAGTAAGCATTCCACTACTTGAGCCACACCTCTAGTTCTTGTGTGCTTCAGGTGTATTTTTCAGATAGGGTCTTCCAGCCTTGTACCATTTTCTCCTAATTAAATGAAACTCAACATCCCGGTATCACTTGGTAGTGGTATTTCTTGAAATATGAAATACTACAATTTCCCCACATGGAACCCGTGATCCTTCTCGCACTAGCAAGGGAGTAAAGAACTACAAGATGATCCGATACCTTACCTGAATATTACTACTGCCTTCACAAGGAAGCACACTGCTCTCTGCAAGAGGCGACATACACATGTGAGAACTTTCCATACTGAAGGCGATTCCACTCATGAAATCAGTCACAGGTGAATTCCCATTATCAACCGGCTCCTTGATCCAAGTGCTCTCATCTACTGTCTGTATGGGATCGGGATCGGCCATGTCCACAGTGTCGCTCTCCCTCACACTCTCAATGTCCTCCCACAGTGCCAGCTCCCGCTCAGAAGCACTGGACTGGCTCTGCGTCATGGACATGGCGGTCACAAGTGCAGGGGGGCTTCGTGAAGAGGTGTCACTCTTCAATGACCACGGCCACCCTCTTGTGGTCTCTCTGACTGGTGATGAGATGATGGAAGGGATGTTCTCTTTGTTTTCTTCCACTTCCTCTTTGCTCTGAGTCTCCAGATGGAAGGGCAAGTGAATGAGTGAGCTCTGCTGCTGAGTACTTCCACACATCTCAAGTCTCACAGGAGAACAATTTTTAATTGGCGAGCAGCCATCTATAAAGGGACTCCTGATACACGGGTTAGCGATTCCACTAGAATTTCTTCCAGATGAAACATCAGGAGAGTGAAAAGGAAACTTCCTTTGTTCTAAAAGATTGGAGGAAGAAATAACATCATTAAGAAAAAAAAAACATAAAAACGGACTTCTGTTAGCATCTGTATTTACTAAAGTAGAATTGTGGTGTTAAGCAAACATTCAAATAAATGAAGCGCAAAAATACTTTTTTTTCTGGCTCATTTCCTATTTTAACTAAAATATTTTACTCCCTGAAAATTATTTCGTGATAAGCATACTGTTGTAGTACCAAAATTCTTCTTATATCAAGAAGATCCCTAACAAATCAGCAGAAAGCTATGACTTGACAGCTGTACTTCGTAAATTAAAGGCATAAGTGATTTTATGCAAAAATCGTATTTACTTATTTATTTATTTATTGTTGGTCATGGCACTTGAACTCTGGGCCTGGGTGCTCTCCCTCAGCTCTTTAGCTGGAGGCTAGTGCTCTACCACTTGAGCCACAGCACCACTTCTGGCCTTTTCTGTTTATGTGGTGCTGAGGAATCAAACCCAGGGCTTCATGCATGTGAGGCAAGCACTCTACCACTGAGCTACCTTCCCAGCCCCTCTTTTTTAAAATTTAATTTTATTGTCAAGGTGATGTACAAAGGGATTACAGTTATATACATAAGGTAGTAAGTCCATTTCTTGTTTACCAACTCCCTCATTTTTCTCTCACTTTCCCTTTTCTCTATTGCCCCCCAGCAAAAATACTTCAACAAACAGTAAAAGGCAAACAAAAAACTGGAAAATAATATTTGCATCAATAAAACACCTAGTAAGAATCAAAAGGATAAAAAATTATTTAAAGCTTAAAACTTTCTCTATTTTTCATTGGCTTATAAAAATAAAAGTTTAAAAAACTTGGCAAATGCACATCAACAGTGAATGGTAATAAATAAGAAAAATATCCCACCACAAGAACAAGAAAAAATATGAAAAGTAAAGCAAGGAGAGACCATTCACTTAATAACATTCAGGTCTGAACTAACAAGTTCTCCAAAATACAATGGCCAACAAACAGGAAGAATTCAACATCCTTAATGAACCAAGATACAATCATTAAAGCAATAAGACAGCTTTCTATAATATATCAAAGTAGTAGTACAATTGGTAAAATTTATCACAACCTTATAATTTCTTCAAAAAGAAATTTTTACCCGTAAAACCAGTCTAGCTTTATCTACCCCTTCTGACCAAATAATTCCAATTCTGAAAATTTAAGGAAATATGTACAACATACTATGTATTCAGGGATAACCATTAGTTTGGTGATGAAATATCAAAGTTAAAATGCTTATCAGTGGTTCAAAACATAATTGGGATTGAGTTGTAGAGTGCTTGTTTGGCAGGAATGTTTGGGCTCCAATACCAGAAAACAAAACAAAGCAAAATTGAAGCAAAATATACAAGCATGAGGTGATTCAAAACCACAGTTTTGAAGTAACAAAGGACTTGAATGACCTGTAAAAATATTCTTAAGAAAATGCTTTGAGAAAGGGCTGGGACAGCTCTTGATGCCTGCCCAGACTACATAAGGCTAGGGTTCAATTTCTAGCACAGTAAAGAGGAAAGAAAAAGAAAAAAACAAAAACAAAAAAAACCCTAAAAAACAAAAAAACAGAGGAGAAAGTGTAGAGAAGGAGGAAGGAGGAAGAAGAGAAAAAGAAAGGTGTGAAAGAAAAATGCTTTATGAAAATAAAAAGCTTCATGAAAAAGCAGTATGTGTACCTACTATGTATTCTCAGATATATAACCAAATAAACATAAAGTGACAAAATAAAGTTTATTTTCCCAATGTTATTTAGTATGAACGGTTTTTTTGGTTTTAGGGGTATTTACTGTTGTTACTGATGGTGTTTTTGGTGGTAACATGAATTGAACTCAAGGCCTTGAGCTTGCTAGGAAGGTACTAGCTCTTTTCTGAAATGATTATCTTCAACCTAGGGTCCCCCTTTATATCTAGGCCAGCCTAAGCTGTAATCCTGTTTGTGCTTCCCATGTCACTAGTTATGACAGGCACATGCCACTGTGTTAGCCATTGTGACTCCCCAATAGCTGAGAAAACAGGTGTGCATCACCACACTCAGCCACTAGTTGAGATGGAGTCTGGAAAACTTCTTTTTACTTGGACTGGTCTAGAACAACAATTACCTGATCTGCCTTCCAACAGCTGGGATTATAGGTGTGAGCCACTGAGCTAAGCTATGAAGTGATCAAGTGATATATTTTTTCCAAGAAACATGTTTTTTTTGGTTGTTGTTGCTGGTCATGGGGCTTGAACTCTGGCTGTCCCTCAGCTATTCAGCTCAAGGCTAGTGTTCTACAGCTTGACCCATAGCTCCACTTCCAGTTTTCTGGTGGTTTATTGGAGATCAGAGTCTCATGGACTTTCCTGCCTGGACTGTCTTTGAACCTCGATCCTCAGATCTCAGCCTCTGAGTAGCTAGAATTTTAGGTGTGAGGCCACCAGTGCCTTAGCCATGTTCATGTTTTGTATGTTAAATTACCTTAACAATTTTAACCAAATCTATTTTCTTTTTACAAAGTACAAATATTTAATTATCAGATATCAACATCTCACAGGTTAGAAGACATATAAGAACAACCTGTCTCTAAAATTACCATCTTTCTTTTGTGAAGTGTTTGATATAGCTCTTGATAATCAAACCAACTATTTTACAGTAGAATAGAATTTTACTGAAAACTCCAGTCTTTGAAGGTAAATTGTTTCTTTTGTTGAAAAAGAAATAAAAGCTGCCAAAAGAGAGACTACATCCATCATTTAAATTGTTAAAAAGGCCTTTTTAATAACTAATACTGAAAGGATAAACATTTTCACAATTATTATTATTTTTTTACTTTTTATTTTTGATGCTGGTTCTGGGACTTGAACTCAAAGCCTGAGTCCCTAAGATTTTTCTCTAGCACTCTGTCACTTGAGCTACAGTTCCACTTATAGCTTTTTCTGAATAGTTTATTAAAGTTAAGAGGCTCATGGACTTTACTGCCAGGGCTGGCTTTGAACTGTGATCCTCAGATCTCAGCCAATGGCGTAGCTAAGATTACAGGCGTGAGCCACTGGTGCCTGGCATATTTTCTGATGTGACATACCTGAGAGCGGTGTTTTTCCTACTTGGAGTGTCACTGGGGAAAAAGTGGGTGAAGAGATGGCCGAAGGGCTTGTTATACTTCCCAAACTGTACCTCTTTGAACTCCCCTGAATAGGGCTAGAAGAAAACTGCCCCTAGAAGAAAAGCAAATAAATAACAGAATGTATTTCTATGGTTATCCTTCTACATAGTTAACACTTCATGCTCTTTTGTCTTCAAAACACACTCATTAATTAGGAATTGTATATAAAAACTACCAAAAGGCATTCTGAAACAGGCCAGGCACTGGTAGCTCATGTCTGTAATCCTAACTACTCAGGAGGCTGAGATCTGAGGATCATGATTTAAAGCCAGCCGGGACCAGAAAGTCTATGAGACTCTTATCTCCAATTAAAAACCAGAAAACTGGAAGTGGAGATGTGGCTCAAGTGATAGAGTGTACAAAAATTCTAAAATAGTGCCACAGTCGCCATCACAATGCATTGTGTTTAAGTAAACCATTACATTACACACCAAGCACATGTCTATGAAAAGTTTTAAAATAATTTATTCCATTAACGCCATTCCAGTTGTTACATTAACTTTTTCATAATTTGGTTAACACTCATGTTGGGAAACCTTGGGCACCTCATGTACCTCCAAAGGCAATGTTGAAGACTCTGAATAAAAACATTTTGGTGATCAATGACAATATATAAATTGGGTTAACATTCACAATGTATAATCTCCAAAAGACAACTATTCCTAGTCAGTGCAATCTAAGCATCTAAAGCCACACACACCCAGAACACACAGAGCCAACACTTGTTAGAATTCTTCTTACCGAGCTAGGTGTCTGCATGGGGCTCCTACACTGCACAGGAGATAAATCTACTGCATAAAACACCTCAAGTGATGCTTGACCATTGCTCTGAGGACTTCTGGGAGAAGCTGAAGGCAAGGAGTCAGAGATGCTCCCGTTGCCATCTAAAAAAAGCTTTCTTCTGAGAGATGAAGAACTAAGGTTTCCAGGAGACTGATCAGCACCTTCATCAGCTCTGAAGTAGTCACCTGTATTAAACAACAGCAGAATAAAATCTAGTCATTTTGGAAATCAACTTTTCTGTTGTTCCTGTTGCTAACGATTTTTGTTCCAAGGTATTATTATGTAGCCCAGGCTGACCTTGAACTCATGAGCCTTCTGTCTCAGCCTCAAGAGTGTTACCCAATTCTTCAGCTCTGCTATCCAATTCTTTATAAACAAGCATGTTCCAGCCACAAGTTGGAAATTATTTTTCAAAAAACAAGGCAATATTTACTTGTGTATGTGAAGTTAAAAACTCCTATTATTCCTTATATAAGTAGTTCATTATTAGAATTATACTAATATGCTGATAGTTATGCTTATAATTAAGATGCTTATAGTTTATGAATAGGAACCCTATGAACTTTTCTTGAACATGGCTAATTCAGGCTGTGTTCAAGTAAAAGATTCAGGACAAGCTGAGCGCTGGTGGCTTGTGCCTATAATCCTAGTTACTCAAGAGGCTGAGATCTGAGGATCACAGTTCAAAGCCAGTCCCAACAGGAAAGTTCGTGAGACTCTTATCCAATAAACCACCAGAAAACCGGAAGTGGTGCTGTGACTCAAGCGGTAGAGTGTTAGCCTTAGCTGAAGAGCTGAGGGACATTGCCCAGGCCCAGAGTTCAAGCCCCACAACCGACAAAAACAAAACAAAACAAAAAAAAGATTCAGGACAGTTTCCCTACTTAAGAGAAGGCATTCCCACAAAGTCCCATTTCAAAAAGCGAACAAAAGAAAACCTTGAAGTTACGAAAAGTTTAAAGAATATAATACTTACCTAATATATTTTCTAAATTAAAATCCACAGGAAGAGACAGCAATGTCTGACAAGCAGCTGGAAGCAAGCAAATAATAAAAACATGGATAAAGTCAATGAGAGCACAAGAAACACAATTCTGCCCATGCTTCTCAACCCAGCATTGCCCCATGGTGTTCTACCACGTGGAATTACTCCATTTACACATTTATTACACACCATACATTACTAGTTTCCTATCCCTTCTCCTACAGATGGAAAGGTGTTAATAGTAAACGTTACTCCTGGCTGCGGGGCTGACATTTGGAAATGAAAAGGAAGCCAACCCCTAATTTCCCATATTAACCAATTTTCAAAAGAATGTTTTGTAAAACCAGAAACTAACTCACACTTTAAAGAAAAAACATGCTACTGCTATTTCTAAAACATGGCTGGATAAGTATGCTTTAACATCTTCTTTTAAAAGTGAGCTCTCGGCTGGAATGTAGCTTAGTAGTAGAGTGCTTACTAAGATGCATGAAGGCCTGGGTTCAATTCCTCAGTACTACATAAACAGAAAAAGCCAGAAGTGGCACTGTGGCCTAAGTGGTAGAGTTCTAGCCTTAAGCAAAAGAAGCTCAGGGACAGTGCCGAGGCCCTGAGTTCAAGCCCTAGGGCTGGCAAAAAAGAAAAAAAAAAAGTAAGTTCTCAGTTATTATAGATTACTCTCAAAAAAGTAAAGAATTTCAACTGCACAGTATCATATGACTACAAGAACTATAAATCAAATATAGCTATTGTTCAGTAGATTTCATTTCAGATTGTGTTTGTACTCACCATTGCTTTTCTCAGAATGAGGGTTCAGCTTTTTTCCAGCTGGAGAGTCACTATTTATGTTAATACCTATAGAACATTTTAAGTGGAAAAATCATTCAATTTCTATTTACTTATGTTAGTATTCCACAGGTAAAAAAAAATAGTACATAATAGCCTTTTATGAATAATGCTTGCATTCTAAGCATGTATGCTGGTATCTTGGTTATTTTTTTTTTAATTTTAAAGAAGTACAAAGATAACTTATAACAAGGAGGTACCAAATAATTTTTTTCAATTTTGAAAAAGGCAATTAATAATTACATATATTTACAGTATGCTTTATGATATTCTGATATTTACATATTGTGGAATAAGACCAATTTACTATCTATCACCTCACATACTCCTATGCGGTAAGGATATTTGAAAGCTACTTTTAGAGGTTTTGAAATAAACCCTATTATTAACTGTTGCACAATAGTCCACCATAACTCCGTTGTTCTGTCCAACTGAAACCTCATTCCTTTTCATCACCAATGCCCTCCTCCCTCACTTTCTACTTCTTTGAGTTTTATTATGAACATTCCATTATGTAGATTGTATGTTATCTGTCTTTCTGTGTTAGTGTTATTTCACTAGTAAGAGTCCTCTAGATTCATTCAGATTGTCACAAATCACAGAATTTCCTTTAATTTTAAAGGGGGAATTGATTCCCTTTGAATATATGTATGCCACAGGTGTTTTTTAATCTTCCCATGTTGAAGGACACTTAGTTGATTCCACTTGTTGGCTACTGAGGAGAGTGCTGCAATGATCATGAGAATGGAAACATATTAGTTTAGATCCATATATCCAACTGGCATAGGAATCCATATAGGATCCATATATCCAACTGGCATATCCAACTTGCATAGGAAGCATGATTTAAAGGAAGCCATAATTCTTTCCATGATGTCAGTCTTAAAAGGTAAGGGCTCCATCTCAGCTGTTCTCAATGTCTCTAAACAACCTTCTGTTATTTCAAGTTTTCACAAAAGGAGCTCATATAAAATGGGTTAAATATCAGATTATCTCAACTAGGTCTGAAAATTGATCAATAAAATTATGCTGTTTGTTAAAAGTCAAAAAAAATATAACCACAATGTTTTTAAGTATGCAGTTTTATAAAAAAAAATTTACCAGCTTAAGAAAACTGAACAGTAATAAATGTAAGCAAAAAAAGAAGAAACAAAAAAAAAAAGAGAAAACCCATCAAAAACTTCAAATAAAATGACAAAATAGTCTCATCTAGGATTATTTGGTTTAACAGCACCAAATGAGGGAATAGGTGAGTATACCAATGACTTCAAGTCCTCTATTAAATAAATATCATCAGAACAGGTGAAAAATAAAATGAAAACTAACAATTCATATGCTGATGGGCAACGTGAACTTCTCTTAGTCATCAAGGCTCTCCTCTGTTGTTGTAGGAAGAAGTCTACATACCTTAATGACTTACTAAGTCCTTCAAACCTTGGTCCATTTTCTAGCACAAGTGTCTTGCAGATATACATAATTTTATCTGAAAAAAATCTTAAAACAACACCTCTTCCCTCTAGGTATTGCCTTAGCTTCCATTCTCTAAGTATAAATAATTTAAGTCTAAACTTAAAATTCTAACAATCAGATCACCTCCCCTACTAAGTATATAGCCATATTATCACAAGGTTTTCATTATTTCAAGTGTTTTCTAGAGTTTCCTGAAAAAAAGGACTTCTTCAGTAAGCTCAAGTTTAAGACCTCCCCCCCAAAAAAATCTGATAGATTTGATAATACCAAAATAAGAATTTCTTTTCCATCAAGAATATAAAAAACAAACACTATAGACATGACTACAGGAAAGATATTTGAGCTGTTTAAAACCAATAAAACTATCATATGTAAGGTATCTTAGTTTTTTTTTCCTTTTGCTCTATTTTTTTTTTTGAGGGGGGGGGGTCTGTTGTGGGGCTTGAACTCAAGGTCTGGGCACTGTCCCTAAGCCATGGATCCTCAGGTCTCAGTCTCATGAATAGCTAGGATTACAGGAGTGAGCCACTGGCACCCAGTGTTTTTGTGTTTTGTATTTTATTTTTTTATGTTGGGTCCAGCAGGCCATTACACACTCAAGGTAGGAATCTGATTCAGGTTGTACTGTATTCACCATCTCTATAATTTGGAAAAGTACTCTTTGTAAAATGAAGTTTTCTCATCTACAAAATGGGGTCAGTGACTATACTAACCTCATATGAGTTGAGTTGTAAAGAATTACTGAAAGTACTTGTCCTGGCAGAAAAAGTGCCTAAGCCATTTTACGTATAATTCCAAAGCGCGCGCGCGCACACACACACACACACACACAGCTGAACACTGCTTACAACCAGAAGGGCAGTGAGAGCAAATGGAAGATAACCGGTGCCTAGAGAAAGAAACATTTCAAAAGCCACTGACTCCTTTTAAATTAGTAGGTAAACAGCTATAATACACTTTCCAAAAGGTCATTTACATTCATCCCTCCTCAACAAATTAGTAAAAGCAATTTTAATATTTTATTTACAATATTAATCTTCAAGATCACTGCTAAAGCCATTACCAATTAAACTTTTCATTCAAGATGTACTATCTGAATCTTCAGGTCCTTTAGAAGTATCATTATAAACTGACATTCACAATGGTCATGAAGAAAAAAACAGAATGGCATGAACATGCGCGTGTGCGCACACACACACACAGTACATACCAAGTGTAATCCTTTTGATCTTGAGATAAATTCTCAATTTAATACAATTTAATTTTAAGCAAACTCCTTACCAAAACAGATACTTTGGCACTTTACTATGTTGTAATTTTATTTTTGTCTTTAACTCATCTAATTTTTAGCACTCACATTTACTGGAATGATATTCTGAAAGCTGCTTCCCGTCATGGTCAGTCCAAGGAGATGGGACGATGACATCTTTAGTGAAAAACTAGGAAAATTAAAGTCATACAATTAGGCATATGTGCCCCGCAAAATTATAAAAGGAACTGCTACTATTTTCAAATAGCCATCAGTCATGTCACAGTATGATTTTAGTTCAAGTTTTTAAAATTTTTTTGTTTTTGTTTTTTTGTGCTGGTCTTGACAATGAACTCAGGGCCTGGGCACTGTTCCTGAGCTTTGTTGTCCAAAGCTAGTGCTCTACCACTTGAGCCACTGCTTTACTTTCAGCTTTTTGGTGTATAATTAGAGATAGTAGTCTCATGGACTTTCTTGCCCTGGCTGGCATTGAACCATGATCTTCACATCTCGGCCACTGCTTTACTTTCAGCTTTTTGGTGTATAATTGAAGACAGTAGTCTCATGGACTTTCTTGCCCTGGCTGGCACTGAACCATGATCTTCACATCTCAGCCTTCTGAGTAGCTAGGATTATAGGCGTGAGCCTCTAGCACCTATTACTTAAAAATATTAATGACTAAAGGTAAATGGGAGAAACTTCAAGTACATATGAAAACAGTATTTAAAATCAACCACTTACATTCAAAATTTATAAATTAAGTTTATTCTTGAAGAAATTAATCAATCATAAACAATTAATTATAGAGAAATTATTTTAAATTTTTTGGATGTTTGAAGTTGGTCACAACAAAGGAAAGATCAAGAGGGAAGGAATGAAATAGAAAATAGAAAAGTAGACAACTCAGCCAGTCTAAATGGTGTGCTGAAGCTACCTTGTACTGGCTCTCAAGGTCTGTTCATTAACATTTTGGGAATTATATATAGCAACTGTTAAAGCCAGTATTAAAAATAAGCTTATAATGAGATATAATAAAAAATTCAAATCTCACTGGTTGCTGATTATTTTAGTAGATCTTCCAACATCTTTACATCTTTAATACCTCTGTGGTAGAATTCCCTCATATTATAATCTGTAATTCCACTTTTCCCATTCTGTGACATGATATCAATAGCTTGAAATTAGCTATGGCTAGAGTATTTACACTGTGAATAGCAGCTGTCCCTACAAACCTTACTCTTACAAAACAAGACAGCTAGTTATTCATCATTTAAGTATAAACATTTATACATTGTTTATACATATTAAATCTTTGAGTATACTTCTAGCCTATATACTCAAATGGAGATACAACATTTGGATGCATTTCTTATTTCATTCCTAATGTAGCAATTTCCTTTCCCTGTGTTTTAAGGGCACAATATTTTATTTTTCAAGGTATGACAGAGTTTCTTTAACTACTTCTGAATCTATGAGGAAAAGTTCTAAAAACTAAGGGAATGGGAAAGCCTTGGTATAAACAATATAAACAATGCACATATAAAAAGAAATTAGAAAAGTCCCATAGACTGATGAAATGTCTTGAAGGTCAAAATTAAGGAAATATATATTTAAGTAAATGTCACTTTAAACAACAAAAGCATAAATCTTAAAAAGAAATGATCGTCAGTACTGCAGATAAAACCTCAGGCTCAGCAAATCCATTCAAAGCACACAAAATACAAAGAAGATCAATGGGGGCCAGGGCTATTGCATTGTTACTGCAAAAAATGTAAATCTTTATATGCATCCAAAAATATCTAAGTATCCAAAAATATCTAAGGAAGATTATTAGCAAAAGGAAAGCCAAGTATACTGTATCTAAGGGAAAAGGTGGGTAGAGTGGGTGACTCAGGAAAAAGAGGTAACTTTCCATGGTGTAAGATCTTTCTGGGGGCTGAGAATGTGGCTTAGTTGGTAGAATGCTTGCCTGGCATGCATGAAGCCCTGAGTTTGATTCCTCAGTACCACATACACAGAAAAGGCTGGAAATGGCACTGTGGCTCAAGTGCTAGTCTTGATCAAAATAAGATCAGGGACAGTGCTCAGGCCTGAGTTCAAGCCCCCTAACTAGACGAAAAAAAAAAAGAAAAAAAGAAAAAGAAAAAAAAGATCTTTCTGGGGAAAGAATTACATAATTCTTACAGTCAATGAGAAGGGATTTGGCAATCAAAAACACAAAAAGTGGTTTGGAGGCATGGGTCGGGTGGTAAAGCAACAGTCACTAAGCAAGAGTATTAAGATACTGAGTTTGTGTCCCAGCCTTGGGGGAAAAAAAGCAAAAAGTAAAAAACTTAGTTCACTATGTTTACTAAAATCCTTTACAAAACAAAAGCTTTACATTTATACTTTACTAATATGACCTTTTGTACTTCATGAAATATATTGTCTTAAAAATTCCATGTATTAACAACAAAAGACTACACAATTACCTATGTTAATCTAGAGTTTTTTGGCCTGAAAGAATTCAGCTTTGCTTACATAAACTCCCACTTGAAATGGAATTTTGTGCTAGCCATCTTCTGAAGTCACAGTAAAGATAAATTATTCAGTCCCTGAGAATGAAATGATGACAGTGGCACAATATTGGCCAAAAAAGTCAGGGGAAGAGAAGCACTAAGCCATTCATTGTCTTAATATAGGAGTGCTAAGAGAGGTACACCAAGATGACTGAACATCATAGGTCTGACAAAGGCACAAAAGGATGCTTAACCTACAGAGGGAAAAGAAGAGGACTGATAGGGAAATGGAAGTATTTGGAGAAAGACTTCCTAAAGGAAGTGACACAGAGGCAGAATTAATCCTTAACTGGCTTAATCATATATCAGTAACAGTGTTAAGTTACCTCTTCAATGGCTTTTTGTCTTTTGTCTTCCACATCTTTATCTATTCTATACAGAGATAAAGAAGAAAAATAACCAGGCTATTACTTCAGCTTATTGAACAGTTCAAATAATAACCTTTCAAAGAATAATTTCCCTCCACTGCAAACTGACAAATGTTAAACTCACTTTAAAAGAAAAATTGGCATGATATAACATTTAGTTAATGGCAGTATTCTGAGATTCAGCATTTAGCTATCAGGCTTACTTTTACTTCTTTTCCTTCCATTCAAAGTTTGAATGGGGTAATTTCTTTTTAAAGATTTGTATTGATTTAAATTACTGCCAACAAAATAAATTTCAATGAAGTCTGTTCCTTAATCAATACAAATGAAGAAATATTTCATTTGACAAAAATCTAAAAATTGCCCAAATTGTATTTTCAGTTATAGTAAGTTTATCACAGTGGTAATTTTAGGATAAACTTTTACTCTGAAATGAAGGAAAAACTATCATCTTCACAGTTCTGGATAAACAGCAAAAACACCGATTCAGAAATAAAACAGCATTTAGTACATTTTGGGGGGGGCAGCGGGGGGGGGGGTCCAGTTGTGGGGCCTGAACTCGGCCTGGGCGCTGTCCCTCAGCTCTTCAGCTCAAGGCTAGCGCTCTACCACTGAGCCACCTTCCCAGACCTGGTGCATTTTTTTGGGGTCAGTCTTGGGGCTTGAACTCTGGGCCTGGGCTCTGTCCCTCAGGTCTTTAGCTCAGGGCTAGCACCTTACCACTTGAGCCACAGCACCACTTCCAGCTTTTTCTGCTTATGTGGTGCTGAGGAACTGAATACAGGCAATCATGCATGCAAAGCAAGCACTCTACCTCTGAGCCACCTTCCCAGCCCCTGATGCATACTTTTTAAAGTTTGATACAATAAGGAATTACACTATCACAAATTCCTCAGCTAGTAGATTTAGAAAAAAAGAAGTCAGGTCTAAAGATAAGGCCTAAACTTGCTAATATTTTAGCAGTTAGCCTTCGAGGACCACTTAATTTTTTTTCCTTAGGACAGAATGATTGTAGTTCATTCAGAAATTAGTATACATTTTTTAAATTATTTTTTTCTCTCAGAAACTATTCCATGCATATATTTGTTCCTGGCTTAACAAAGGTTTTTTGAGAATGTACACACTTCAGAAATTTAAATCATGTAGCTTTTTCAAATAAAAAAATTAGGAGAAAATAAACTATGGTGATAATCCACATATCTCAGCTGGCATGATAGCCATTTTAAGGATATAACTCAGTTCTTTTTACCTGATCATGTTCACAACCATGTCAAAATGACAGTGCATAACTGTCTTAGCTTATGTAAGCACTATCCTAGCTTTGCCCTACTTAGAAACCTTCTACTAGTTTATCAGAGGGACTTCAAGAACATAAAATATTCAGATGATCACTGAAACTAGTAAAAAATCAGGGTGGCTGAATACTATTGACCCCAATGCAAAGTCCTAAGAAGTTTGAGTATTAGGACCAGCATATCACTGAACCACACTGAAATACAAGAGTAGCATGATTGCCTTGAGTGTTGGTGCCTGGAATGCTGGAGAGAAATCTTTCAAGAGTAGTAACCACCTGTGTGGACATGATTCATGCCAGTATGCATCTTATACTTATCATTCTCTTTGCGTACATGATGAGGACGGGGGAAGAACTAAAGTGAGTAGTTACTGGGTAAGAAGTGCTATTAAAAGCCACTGCTTTTTTCTAAGAATGAAACAACACACAAAGAATATTTCCACTATCCTCAGAAGAAGCCATAAAAATTCATTGAATTATTTAAGTAATTTTCCACTCCTTTCCTTTGTCCTATATTATAAAACTATTTACTGAAATACATTAAAAATGTATGAGGAAGGAAGTACCTGTGGTGACATATACCTGTAATCTACTCAGGGGGCAAAAACAGATCATGATTTGAGGCTATACTGAGCAAAAAGTCAGTGGAACATCCCATCAAAAATAGGTCAGTCAGTGGCTCATGCTTGTAAATGGTACTCAGGAGGCTGAGACATGAGGAATGCAGTTCAAAGCCAGTGTAGGCAAGCAATTGGTTGAAACTTTTTTCTCTCATTAGCCACCAAAAAGCCAGAAGTAGAGCTGTGCCTCAAGTCAGAGTGCTACTTTTGAGGAGTAAAAAAGCTATGGGACAGAACTCAGGGTCTAAGCTCAAGCCCCAATACCAGCACCAAAAAGGAAGGAAGGAAGGAAGGAAGGAAGAAGGAAGGAAGGGAGGGAGAGAGGGAGAGAGGGAGGGAGGGAGGAAGGAAGGAAGAAAGAAAGAAAGGAAGGAAGGAGAGAGCAAAGAGAAGAGAAGAGAAGAGAAGAGAGAAGTATGTTGGTCCTAGATTACTGGGGAGGTGAAGGTAGGTGGCTCACAGTCCAGGACTGACCAAGTTACAAACAGAAGTCATTATTCTAAAAATACTAACAGTAAATACATACAGGCATCATGATGAAGCATGAGGCCCTGAATTAAAGTCCCAGTTTAGGGGCTGATGAGACAACACCCAGTTGATACATTATTTATTAGTAAGTGAAGGCAAGTTCGGTCTAGCTCTACTGTTAGTTCTTTGGGGCAGAAATAATATTGTACATTATAATACACTTTTCAATGTTCCTGTTTCTCACACTGCTTCAAAATACTCAGTAAATGCCTCTTCACAGCTGGGTGAACAATTGACCATGATTCAACGTATTGAAAGAATGGACAAAATGACAAAACCTATAGCTTGGGAGACAAAAAGTAATTAACAGTGGCTTGTTTGCTTTTAGATAAAAAGGTCTTTATCTTCTCTCTTAAAGGTATTCTTAAAATCTTATGCTTTATCTCCATTCAATTCCATTACTATAATCATTTATGAACATTAATGAAAGTGAATAATCATTAAGTTAGTAAAGAAAGAATGGAATAGAAAAGTCAGGAAAGTATTTGTAAGAATATATCCACATGCATGGTTCTGTGTGTGAATGAATTTTAATGTCTTAGGGGAAAGATCCCATTGTTTCAGACTGACAACATCTCTACTTCCAGACAGAAAATTAAAAGCTGGACATGCCATGTATTTGATTCTTTTCAAATATTAAAAAAAAGGTACTAAAACAATAGGCCTCAAGTTGTAAATACTATTACCTATAATACTAGAAGTCCATGTTCTAAGGTAGGCCCCAGAGGCTCACACCTTTAATTCTAGCTTTTAGGGACACTAAGATCATAAAGACCAATATATGAGCCAGTCAGGGCAGAAAAGTCCACAGGACTCCATTTCCAAACTAATCAGCCAAAAGCATAGCAGCTCAAATGGCAGAGTGCCAGCTAAGCAGTGGGAGACCCTGAGTTCAAATACCAATACTGGGGAAAAAGATTTTAAGAAGCATGTGCTTACTTCATTTGGCCTGACCCAATCAAAGCTCCACAAGTGTAAAGCACACTAGTAGTTTGAAGTTCACACAATCTATCAATGAAAAAGTTAAAACTATGTAGGTATTATGTAGACTTCAAGGAAGTATAACTGTAATTCTCCAATGAGCTATGTTAAAATGAGATGATGTCCGAAAAGTTCTCTGCTTTTAATAAACGTTTTTCAAGCCAATGTGCCTTAACTGGTGAAGAGGATTTTAGGCTTTCCCTAACATAGAATCTTGCTTTTTCCTGAAACACCAAAACCCAAACCAAAATAAATAAAAATAAGTCAGAAGTCACATGATGGAAAAAGGTACAGATTTTAAAATGTCCTTTCTTTTCCCAAGTACTGGGGAGGCAGAACTGTTTCATAAGCAACAGAGATTATGTATCTCTCAAAAAAGAATTTCTACCCAGATCTGGGAAGATGAGAGAATATTTGTAGATATAGTTCTTTGAACTCACTCATTTAGATAGGAAAAAAAATCCACATAAAATTTTTTTCTTCCTCAGTATCTTTACATATACAAACATTCAACTTTTACAATTTCTTATATCTCTTCATTTAACTACATTTAGTTATATGAAAGAAAAACTTACCGAGAATGACTTACAATTTCTTGTATCTCTTCACTTAACTATATTTAGTTATATGAAAGAAAAACTTACCGAGAATGACTTAAGTATGATGCTTGACGATGAATCTCTTCTGGGTCTATTTCTACAGGATTTATTACAGCTAGTTGATCAATAGACCATCTAAATTCCCCTGGAGTCTTAGCAAAAGAAAAGTGAGCTTGTAAGTAAAAGCAAACTAAAATACTTTGTCAAAATGCTAGCCAATGTCACCTTCAAAGAAATAATGTGAATGGGTATAAGCTGAAAATACTTAATTCTAAAGCTTGTATTTTCATATTCTATTTTTCCACTAAATTAAAAGGCAGATGTTCATCAAATCACACTAAATCAACTATATCTCTTAAAACTTCATCTGAGTGATTAAAAAATGATATATTATAAGACTGTTCAGAGTAAAAAAGGTATAGAAATTCCACAATTAACACTCAATAGTGATAGGTCATGCTCATGTGAAGGTAGAAATCTCTGGGTTATTAAAGTTCAAAAGCCTTTACACTAAGAATGAATCAAATTTAAATGAAGCACTAAGGGTTCCAAAAGCTCTCGAGTCCCTAAAAGCCTTCCTAATATCTTAAAGAACACAATCTCTTTTTATCACATTGTATTCATCACAGAACTTCTCTTGAAATTGCAATTTAACTGTGTCTATACCATCAGCATGGAGGTAGTGGTTTCTTCAAACAATGTCTCACTATGTATGCCCATCTGGCCTGCAACCTGTGACCCTGCTGTCTCCACTTCTCCAGAGAAGGGATGATAAATTTGTGCTACCACCTAACTTTGGGATTAAATATATTGTTGGTATTAGGGCTTGAATTCAGGGTATGGCACTCCTGCTTGGCTTTTACACTCAAAAGTGGTAATCTACCACTTGAGCCACACCTCTATTTGAGATAGCTTCTTTCAGCTAAGAACAGTTTCAATATATATTCTATCTATCTATCTAGTGTGTGTGTGTGTGTGTGTGTGCGCGCGTGTGCGCGTACACTTGAGCGCACACTCTGATCCTGGGGTTTGAATTCAGAACTAAGCCCTATACCTGAGCTTTTGTGCTTGTTAGAACTCGACCAGAGACAGCTTTACTCTGACTTTTTGGCAATTAAGGAGAAACTGGAGTCTCATGGACTTTCCTGCCCAAGCTAGCTTTGAACTGCAATTCTCAGATCTCAGCCTCCCAAGTAGCTAGAATTATAGGCATATGCCACCAGCATGTGGGGCAGTTAAAATATTTTTAAATAGCTAAAAAAGAAAAAACCCAAATGGAGCCGGGCACCTGTGGCTCACGTCTGTAATCCAAGCTACTCAGGAGACTGAGATCTGAGAATCTTGGTTTGAAGCCAGTCCAAAGTCTCTGGGATTCTTATCTCCAATAAGTCAGAAATAGCTGGAAATGGTGCTGTGGCTCAAGTGGTAGAGTCCTAGCTTTAAGCATAAAGAGGCTCAGGGACAGGACCCAGACCTTGAGTTCAAGACCCAAGACCCAGGACAAACAAACAAAAAAACCCCACAAAAATCCAAATGGGCATTTTTTATGACATGACAAATCACATAAAATTCAAATTTCAGTGTCCAAAATGTTTTATTTGAACATAGACACACTGTTTCCATGTTGTGCAGCCATGGCTGTTGTTTCAGTACAGAGTAGATGTTTAGTACTTTAACTGTGACCCCGATGACACATAATACCTAAGTATTTCCTGTCTGGTTCCTAACTTAAAGACTACATAATTAGAGGAAATAGCCTGAAACATAATATCTAGCTACACATGAAATATAAAAATCTAGAAAAATAAAATTTAAAAAGCCAGATACTAGTAAATTCTGGTATGCTACTGCACAGCAGCCTAACTACAAATAATAAATGTTGCATTTTAAAAAGCTAGGATTTTGAATATTTCAACATAAATTATAAATATTGAAGAGATAAGGGCTGTCACAAATATGTACCATTCTTATGTTTTTACATAACAATTAAAATTGAAAAAATTAAAAAGCAGATGCTAACATTTTTTTCTAGCTAACTTATTACTGTCTCAAAACACTAGGCTGCAATAAACACAACGACACATTACATTTATATGTTCCACGATGCACTGCATTTATATGTTCCCTCTTAACGTTAAAATATTTAACATTTAAAATTATTTGTAAGTAGTCTGCCTAAAATTCGTTGTAAACATAAGTACATAATAACTTACTGGTAATTTTGTGGATTTAAAAACAGAAGGACTGGCAAGAGTTTGTTCATGCAGATTAGAATAATCACTAGGACTTTCAAAAGGATTTAAAACGGGGATTCTTCCTGGAGTTTCTGGTGTTATTTGCATTTTTAATTCTTTGACATCTCCCATAGCACAGAAAGCAAACTAAAATAAATAAGAAATCTGCATATTAAAATGACAAAGTATCATAGACATTAATGTTGATAAATGAAGATATATTTAATAGATAATTTCACCAAAAGAATTAATTGAAAATCTAACCCTCGGGGTTATTTTATAGTTTACCAAAAAAAAAAATCACATTTTTCTCAAGTGATCCTCGAAAGAACCTTGAAAGCTAGGCAGGAAAGCTACTACTATTAGCACTGTTGTTTGGCAGAAGATTTAACAAACTCAGGGAAGTGTCTTATAACAAATAAGAGTCAACCGAATTTAAATGAGTTCAGGACTGCCTTTGAGGTACTGATTAAATAGTACAGTAGGCACAAGCAGCTTTCCAACCCTATGATTCCTACTGGTAGTTTTATAAACTCATTATCTCAAGACTCTGATCATCTTTCCGAGAAGTTAGTAATTCTCTCACGAATTAAAGTTATTTAACAATCCTACGCAGCAAGCAAATAAGAGACGCAGAAGTTTGTGCCCTCGCTAGAGAAGTATGAGTGACAGTATAAAGAATTAACTGCCCTTTGCCTCTTGGGTCAAGCATTGTCCATCCGTAGAAAGCTAGACTGCATTACTTCCCTTCAAAGGGGGCTACAACTAGAGAAGAAAATTCTACTTTTGAGAAGCCGAAGTACACCTGGCTCCCTTGTCTGCCGAGCAGAGAGGTCACCCCCAAAGCTACTAGGCGCCCCTGTTCTTGCAAAGTTACTCCCCTCGCTCTCTCATTTATCCCGTGGTGAGCAGGTAAAGCAAGTCCTGAGCTAAGAAACGTGAGCTTTCCAACTCGAGAAAGAATAGCTCAAGAATCGTAACGAACGTACCGATAAGTGTGTACAAAAAAAGGAGCCCCCCAATATCGGCTCCAGGGGTCACAGGAGGGGGCCGGGGACAGCACACACGACAGACAGGCAGCCACAGACTCTTTAACTCCCCGCTTCCGCGCTACCTTCGACCAACCAGGCCGCGGGGCGACCGGCCAATCACCGCTCGCCGCCGTCCTCGAACCGACCAATCAAAATCGACGCGGCGGAGTGAATTCGAACGCCAACTCCTCACTCGACGTTCCGCGCAGTGCAGCGAGGCTCGAAATTCAAATCAACGCAGCCTCACGCCGGCGACGGGCACGAGGGGGCGGAGCCTGGCGGGCGTGAGCGGGGACGCGCCGAGCGGTTGCCCGGGAGAAGAGGAAGACGCTCCAGTTCCGGGTCAGGCGCTGCTCCCGCCTTCCTCGGCCTCCGCCATGGCTAGCGGCAGCGGTGCCGGGGCGGCGGCGGCGGCGGCGGCGGCGAACCTGAATGCAGTGAGGGAGACCATGGACGGTGAGTGGTCGCGGCGTCCCCCCTTTTTACCTTGGCCAGGCACCCCTCCAGGACGGGTGTGCCTCGGAGCGAGGTGCGTTCTCCTGCCCGCGTCCCACGCCATCTTCGAAGGTCTTGGAGCGGAGACCCGCCAGCACCGCCACGCCGACGGTCGCATCCTTTGAGGCGCTGGGGACCCTACGTCTGCGGGCTGCTGCCGCTCCCCCTCCCCCGTCCCCATCCCCATCCCCATCCCGTGAGCGCGCTCCCGCGTTTCGCGCCAGATCTCGCGGGACCCGCCCCTCTCTTCCCGCGCCGCCGCGTTCCCGCGCGTGCGCGCGCGCGCGCCGCCGCGGAGCGCTTCGGGGGAGGGGGGCGGGGATGGCCAGGCCCGTGCACGCGCACGCGCGGGTACTGAGGAGCCGCCTGCCCGCGCCCGGGCGCAGTTTTAAGTTTCTAGCAGAGGAATGAGTCGCCCTGGCATCCTCTCCCCCCTCGTTTTGTTTTGGAGTGGGTGGAGGTGGAGGTGTAGATGTAGACCTTGTCACTCTGTGCCTCTTGAATGGATCACTTAACATCTTTCGAGATTTTTTTTCCTTCTGTGAAATAAAACCATGCCTCCCAGAGTTACTGGGAATATTTAAGACATCCAGATATATCAAAAGTATATCAGGGGGCTGGGAAGGTGGCTCAGTGGTAGAGCGCTTGCCTTGCATGCATGAGGCCCTGGGTTCGATTCCACAGCACCACATAAGCAGAAAAAGAAAAAAGCCGGAAGTGGTGCTGTGGCTCAAGTGGTAGAGCGCTAGCCTTGAGCTGAAGAGTTGAGGGACAGCACCCAGGCCCAGAGTTCAGGCCCCACGACCGGACCCCCCCCCAAAAAAAAGTATATCAATAGTAATCAGGTTTGGGATTTTTCGGGGGGGGAGAAGGGGGTGCGGATTCGTTGTGGGGCTTGAACTCAGGGCCTGGGCTCTGCCTCTGAGTTCTTTGCCTTCCGGTTTCCGGGTGGTTAATTGTAGCTAAGAGTCTCCCGGGGATGTCTTAGTCTTAGCTGCCTTAGCTGCCTTGGAACCATGATCCTCAGATCTCAGTTTCCTGAGCAGCTAGGATTACTGGCTTCAGCCACTGGCGCCCAGCTTTTGAATTTTTTTTCCTCCTTATGACATTAGTTGTCATGCCATCTGCGAGTACCTTTCTGTCTTTATTTTACTTATCTCCATCTGTATGGGTGGGGATGTTAGTCATTGCAGTCCTTCTTGTGGTTTCCAGGGGTTACCTCACCAGGCTTTACCTCTGTTAAAAGATAACTCTCCAAATAAAGTAAGATACCTTCCACTAGGAGGGTGAGCCTTCCAAGCTGTGTCTCCTTTCAATGAAGACTCCCATTTTATATAGCCCCTTCATCTAGGAGCTTCTCATAAAGTCTTCTCGATTTTCTTCACTAGCTGTTGCTTTCCTTTTTCAAAGAATCACTTCTCTTATTTGCCATCATTCCTGTGTGTGTGTGTGTGTGTGTGTGTGTACGCGCTCACGTGTGCACACACGCGTGTGTGCCAATCCTGTGGCTCGATCTCAGACCCTGAGCACTGACCCTGAGCTGCTTTCACTCAAAGCTAGCACCCTACCACTTGATCCACAGCACCACTTTTTCTGTTTACTAAGGAATGGAATCCAGGGCTTTATGCATGCTAGGCAAGCACTCTACCACTAAGCCACATTCCAAGCCCTGCCATTATTCATTTTGACCTAAGCAGTATCCATTTAGCTAGTTTTCCTTATCCAACCTATTTCTTTAATCCTTCTTGATGTTTCACAGCTTACTAGTTTTATTTTGCAGAATACATTTTCTGAAGTATGTAAGGAATTTGTATGTATATAACATTATTGTATTTTTCCTTAGAAACCAGTGTTTTGTTTCTGTTTTTGTTTTTAACAGAATGGGGCCTCACTTTAAACCAATTTCTTTTGTAACCTGTGTTTAGAGTACTAGTTAACATACTTCAGGTTTCCAGTAAGATTCTATTTGAGTGGAAGATTGCTATTTTATGTCTGGTGGACCTCTTGAGGTCCAGATGAGAGGTAAGAGTTTGAATAGGTTGGATCATCAAGATTTTTTCTGAATTTGGTGTAAGAGGAAGATGATAGAGAGTAAAAGACCATAATCAAGTAAAAGCCAAAGAAAAACATTTTTTTAAGAAAAAGGGTGTATCTATAGGGTTTCAGTATATTAGAATCAGTTCATGAAAGGTGGTTGAAATTTTTAAAATTTTGCGTATTTCTCCCTTAAAGAGCTAGAATATTCTCCCTCATACTCTTCCTCCTTCCCATGAATATTAGTCAGCTAACAATGATTTAAGCTTTTAAAAAAATTTCAGAGAGGACAAGACAGTATGTTGAAAACGAACTTTACAAATTGGTGGGGAGGGAAAATGGGAGGAAAACAGGGAGGGGTAACAATGTTCAACAAGAAATGTATACACTGCCTTCTGTATGTAACTGTAACCCCTCTGTACATCACTTTGATAATAACATTAAATTTTAAAAAAAATTTTCAGAGAGGATTTCACAAAGTTTCACAAGGATTATGTTTAAAAAAAGTTTCTCACGTGAGAGTAAGCAAGTAGACTTTGTAATTTGTCTGCACACTTTACTCCGTAAGTATTTAGCATAAGGCATATAACACAATATCCCCTATTCTTATTTTAGGCATTCAACATTTTCTCTAGTATGTCCTCTTGAAATAAGCCTTTAAGAACAGCCACCTCTGTTTCACAATGTACTTCTTTTGCTTTCCAACATTTTGAAGTTAAAATTCCTAATAATAGCTTCATAATTTTTAATTGCCTTATATTCTAAAATTCTTATGATTTAGTTCTAAATTTACTTCCTCTAATTTTAATTTTACTTTTTTTTTTGCCAGTCCTGAGGCTTGAACTCAGGGCCCGGGCGCTGTCCCTGAGCTTGTTTTTCTCAAGGCTAGCATTCTACCACTTGAGCGCACAGCACTACTTCTGGCTTTTTCTGTGCATGTGGTACTGAGGAATCAAACCCAGGGCTTCATGCATGCGAGGCAAGCACTCTACCCCTAAGCCACAGTCCCAGCCTTATTTTACTTCTTGTAATTAAATTTATGACAGCTGTTCCTTCCCAGAGATTTCAACATAGTACCAGCTTATAAAATCCATTATAGAGAAAAGAAGAGCATTTAACTAGCACTATAAGGCAGAGCCAGTGAAATAGTTAAGTATCATCAATCCAGTTGCTCACTTGAGAAGGAAATCTGGATATTAACTCTAGTTTTGTCATCTCATTTTAAACCACCTATCTTAATATCTCCTGGGTATTCTATTCCTCAGTCTCTCGCTGAAATCGCAATAATATAATGCATTCAACATGTATATACTCTACTCTTTTTTAAGATCTAGTCCATAGTCCGCCAAAGACTCTTCAAGTGTTTATCTGATTGATCTTGTTACATTCTGCTTTTTATATCTTCCAATAGTTTTCCAAGTTCTAAACTCTGTAATAGGGCTTTATAGATTGACAATTTTCACTCTTCCTGTTTTATATTCAACCATCAACTTAATTAACGTTACCTTCACATTAACAGTGTGCATTTTCCAAATGGGAAGTATGTTGTTTACTATCATTCACCCATCTCTTCCTTCTGCCTCAAGTTGATTTCTGCTCATCCTTGAAGTGTAAGGTTGTCACTTCTTCAGACAATTCTTTCTCCAACATAGCATCCTTCTAAAGTTGATAAGTTGCCCCCCCCCTTTTTTGGTCAGTCGTGGGGCTTGAACTCTGGGCCTGGGCGCTGTCCCTGAGCCCTTCAGCTCAAGGCTAATGCTCTGTCACTTGAACCACAGCACCACTTTCAGTTTTCTCATGGTTTGTTGGAGATCAGAGTCTCAGGGACTTTCTGTCCAGGCTGGTGTTGCAATCCTCAAATCTTAGCCTCCTGAGTAGAATTACAGGCACCTGAGCCCGGCTAGTAAGGTACCCTTTATGATTTGCTTCAGAAGTATATAATTCTTTTTCTTTATTGTGCTTACTTAAAACTGAAATCTCAGTCTGTTTTGTGCTACTATTACAGAATAGACTGGGTAATTTATTTAAAAAACATACATTCATTTTTTTAGTTATGAATGCTATGTGTTTGTCAAGGTCCTATTGCATCTTGTGGAAGGTGAAATGCCAAGAGCCACATGTACACAAGAAAATGAGAGGAAAGGAGACCAGATTAATCTTTTTTCAGGGATAACTAACCCACTCCTAAGATAATGTTAATGAGGACAAATCCCTGTTCCCTAATGACCTCCCCTAATGCCTGTGTTTCGGTGTTGTTTTATTGGGGATATGAACGTTGGGGAACACAGCCAAATCATTGGAATCTGTTCTTATCTATCTTTACTCAGTTTTAATATTTGAGGACTTGGACCATAATTTTTTTTCACAGTTATCTTTCCAGCACTAGCATAAATAGGCATAGAATGTATGTGTGTAAGTGTGTATATACCAATTGGAAAGTAGGCTCAAAGTGCTGCGAATGGGGCTTAGAGGAAGAGTACTTGCCTAGCATTCATGAAGCCCTGGGTTAGATTCCTCAGTACCACATTAACAGAAAGAGCTGGAAGTGGCACTGTGCCTCAAGTAGTAGAGTGCTAGCCTTGAGCAAAAG